ACAGTGACTGCTAATACAGTTTGGTGCCACTACCAGCAACGCTGCCTATGGGTACTTACACACGGTCAGTGCAAATTCCCATGTAGTGAGAAAGGCAAATGACATCTCAGTATTATTATGAAGACAGTTTTGACTTTGCAGTCCCCTTGAAGGGTGTCAGGAAACCACACTTCGAGAACTGCTGATCTAGACAAATTATTTCCAAATACTGTTTCAGGAAATTATTAGCCATATTATTAAGAACTGCACCAGTCAGGATAAGCTAGATTATGTGATAATCAATAACAATGCCCTTGAAATCTCAGTGGTTTAAAACAAAGGCCCATTTCTTATCCACTGCATGTTACCATTTGCTCAAGGGTGGCGGGTGTACTCAGTTCACCACAGTCACTCAGGGACCAGACTGGGGAGCGGTCTCCATCTCGGATGTCACTGATCACTGCACCACACAGGAGGAGAGAGTTTAGAGGGTCTCACACCAGTAATTAAATACTCTGGTCCAAAAGTGACTCAAGTCAGTTCTGCTCACAGCCTACCAGTCACATGGCCCCATCCAACCACAAGAGAGAACATGGCTGAGAAGTATAATCCTACGTGTGCCTGAGGGTAGAGAGCTGGCAATATCTGGTGAACCACATTAAAGACCACAGTAGTAGCTAACCTTTATTGAGCATTAATTATGTGCCAGGCATTGTTCTCATAGTATGTATTACTTTATGCTGACAATACTCCCTTGGGGTAGATTACATGAACTCCATTCTTTGGATCAGAAAACCAAGTCACAAAGAAGTAAAGTAACTTCTCAAGGTCACATCAAGTTAGGAGTGGTGCCGAGCAAGTAGATCAACTCTAGAGCCCATGCCCGTAACCTCAAAGCCATAGTGCCCATAATTTTCATCAATCTAGAAAAAAGGAGAAAAATAAGAACTTTTTATTAGTGATAAATTTAAAGGATTATCCTTCATTACAAGGTGCCCCTTCTCCCTTAAAATGTTAAAATGTCCTTTCCTTTAAGGATTGATGGTTATAAGTGGTAAGAAATACTAGGAAAAAAGGTTGGCAACCTTAAGTTAGGCAACCCTAATTATTTTTGTTCACTTTTAACTGACCAAAAATACAAAGATTTGTGACCACTACATTTTGGAGGGTTTTTTTTGTTTGTTTTTAGTTTTAGCACTTTGTTTTGATTCAACCAAATTTGGGTCATTATGTGGCAAAAAGAAGTATTGTTCTAGGCTCTATCTGTCAAGCACTGTACTACATGGTTTCATGGACAGTATTTCATTTAATTCTATGCCATACTGCTAGCTTCCTTATAAAAAGATTAAAGCATGCATTTTCTTTTACCCTAAATACAACTAAAGCAGGAAAGATCTGGAGCATAACAGGCACCTGTAGCAATGGATGAAAGTTATTCTCTGCAAGAGTTACCAGAGAGCAAACACAAGTTCGTCAATGAGTCTTTCGCCAAACTTAATCATCATATCTCTCTCTGTCAGGAATCTTTTACAAGATGTAGTTTTTCTCTCAGGTTAAAGACCAGAAGAGTAACAAGCTGATTTTACCAGCTGGGCTTTGAGACTTGGCCATGGATGATTTCCTGCACAGGACTCCAAACACGAGCCCGGTTCATTGGCCAAGGGCCCAGGCCTTGAGTCCAACAGCTGCTTAGTTAAATGGAACATAGGGCTTAGACACAAGCAAGCTGTTCTGAGCTCCAGCACAGTCTTATTTATTAGTTTCCCTTAGAAATACTCCTGCACGCCTAACAGAATTTTAACAAATTGAAGCCTTGGGAAATAAGAAATGTTTCAAAGAATGTTGAATACCAAGGATATAGCTGTTGTTTTAATAAGGTAGTCTAACAATTTCTCTTTACAAAAGGAGGAAGGAAGGAAGAGAGAAAGAGGGAAGGAGAGAGGAATGGAGGGAAGCAAGAAGAAAAAAGGAAGGAAGGAAGGGGGGGGAGGAAAAATCCTTAAAAAGATTTATACATGTTGATAGCACACAATAGAATATTTGAATTATAAGTCCATTATACCAAATGACTACATCTTGGCTAGTCCTTTCTCTCTGGGAAGATGGACAGTGTATCTCATCATTGACCAAATAAGTACCAACTCTGGAAAAGATTAAGGGAGAGGCAATGTGCTCTGTCACCTCAGGGATGAAAAGTTCTCCTCTTGTTTTTAGACTCCAGATTCTATTTCAAAACAGAGCAATAAAAAAAAATGGTGGTGGTATTAGGACACTTCTATAGAGGAAGAGTTTGTGAATGTAAACCCATTAAAAACATGATTTCTGAACCTTGTTTAGGGTACTGATTCTAACAATTTGAGGTATGCATTTGGACCCAGTATTTATACATCCTGGTCCCTATTGAAAATGACCATTCAAGCTCATTTTCATTTAATTGGGAAGCCAAGGAAACATTTTCATAATCTTTCTATTAATGACCCTATAAATAGCATTCAGAAGTTTATTTTCATACTCTGTTGTCAATGAGTGTCTTCAAATATTTCTATTCCTTAATTAGGAAGCAGGCTCTTTTCTAGAGAGTTTGGTTAACAGTTGCAATCTAGAAGGTGTAGGGTGTACTTTGCAGCCAGAACATTCTACACATCCTCGCTGATGACTGAAACAGCAGATCCTTCAAGTGATAGAGCAATGAGGAGGGAACCACCGAGGACCTGCAGTGACAGCAAGATGCAAAGGAGAAAAACTCACGAATGAGAAATGTTAACAGAGGAAAAGGCCTTCCTTATTAAAACCTGTGCTGGGTAATCTTTAGTCCTGTAGTGGCCATATTCCCATCTTGTACGTGAAATAAGAGTCAGCCAGCTGCCTGAGAAACGTAGGAAGGTCCTCTTACCAGCTGAAGAAGGGAGAGGTGTCAAGTGTTTAAAATAAGCTCTTGGTGTTAACTAAGAAAAAAAATATATAATTACTTTTTTAAATTTGATAATATGTATAGGCCTGAGATCAATTCCATGAACCTCATTGTAAAACGGCCCTTTTTATAGATGTTTTCTACTCCAGTGCAAGATATGTTAAAACCACACAAAATGAAACACTTCAACACTTGAAAAAAATCCACTTAAGATAACTATTAAGATAACAGTCACTTGGCCTGAAACAATGAAGGCTCTGTCAGTCCTCTTGGCTCACTGAAAAGACAGGGTCAACCCACGATGAGAAACTCAAGTGTGTGGCGGGGGCGTGAGACCTCTGGTCCGGCGATGTCTCACTAGGACTAGGCTCCTGGAAGCCAAGGACGGTCAGTCTTGCAACCGCTTTGACTCAGATGATACTCCTAATTCTCACTAAGCAAAAGAGGAACCAATAAAATGGCAAAGAGCTGCAAAAGGCTCACTACCTCTAATGTCAGGAGCATGACAAGCAAGACAATGCAAGAATAGTGTACACGTCTAATCTGAGAGTAAATCACATGGCTTTGCTTGGTCAGCTTGGGGTGTAATTCAGGCCCAAATTGCACAACCTTAAACAACTTACTGTATATAAATTGTCTCAACTGCAAAACATGAAAAATATTCAAACCTCCTTTTTTGTTACACACATATTTTGTGTGACTACCTGAAAAAAAAAGTGTTCCTCAAAAGAAAATAAAATGCATAGCATTCAGTCTTAAAAAGGAAGGAAATTCTGACACATGCCAAACATGGACAAACCTTTGAGGACGTTATGTTAATTCCACTTTTATAAGGTGCCTAGAGCAGTCAAATTCATAGTGAAAGAAAGTAAGATGGTGATTTCCAAGGGCTGGAGGAGGGGAGAATGCAGCATTGTCGTTTAACAGGTATAAAGTTTCAGTGTTCTCAGATGAAAAGAATTTTAGAAACTGGTTGTACAACAATGTGCATGTGTGTAACAGTATTGAACTGTACACTTACAATGGTTAAGAAGGTAAATGTTATATTTTTACCACAAGTAGACTTAAACAAATAAATAAGTAAAATACCCAATAAACCTGGCACATAGGAGATAATCAGACTACAAGCACTGACTAGATGAATGAAGAAGGCTCCTCATTTACAGCAGAGGAGATCTAATTGGCACGCTGCCACTGAAGGATCTTTAAACATTCCCAGAAACTGACCCAGAGTGTTTGGTGCAGTGAGTAAGGAAACCACAAAGTATGGGGAGTCAATGAATTATCTGCTATACCTAAGCCCTAAGCCTTGCAGGGACCGCCCGGTTCTGAGAACCAAACCACATATACCACATTAAGGCTGTTGAGCCAGATAGCTCAGAAAGGCAGCCTTTTGCCAGCTAAGTAAACCGCGGCTGTGACAGAGAGAAAGGGGTGTGCCCTGAGCACACCCGTCTGTCCAGCATGGGGCTCTGAGACGCAGGCCAGCAAACACAACTTCCAAATATGAAAATGTGGAGAAAATGGCATCATGAAAAACAAATAAGCAGTGAATAGTCACAAGCATCCCCTCTGTCCAGAAGCTGGCAGGATGAGAGCTAGAACGAGCGGGTTTCACATTCAGAAGGTCGAGAGTGCCCTCCGCAAAAGCCAGTGGAAGAGAGGGGAGAAACCCAATTACGGCTCATGTAGGAATGTGGGATTTTCATGACATATGTTTAATGTGAGGTAGCTCTTAAATTGGAGAAAAATTCTTTCTCTAGGGCTAGAACATTGAGAATTTACTCTCTCCCAGGAGCAACAAATAAAATTTTTCTTCTTGAATTTGGAGAACAGAGGGACTTGTGAATCAGACTAAGAGAAATTACTGTTGTCGGGACTCATTGCTATATATTTTTATAGAGAACAGAACACTAAGGAAGAGTTAAGAGACAATGGAAACAAAATACAAACCAGCGCAAACAAAAATAGAGAACTTTATGTATTAAAGCAGAAAGCAGGACTAAACTGGCGCTGCTTGGAAAACAGAGAAGTGCCTGTGAGACTCTATGCCCATCTGCCAGGGGCCATTAAAGACACGTGTCTGCAAGCACAACCCAATCCCACTTACCTTTCTTTTGATATCAGTGAACTGGGAAAACATTAAAGACCAATAGAATGACAGCTCCAGGATATAATAGTAGTGAAGGTCAGCTGTGAGTGGCTGGGGAGCAAATTAAAAAAAGGAAAGATTAACAGTTAGCAGGGAACCATACCTGGGTCCCAAATACCTCAAACTCAGTGCTGGAAAGTGACATGGTCTTATGCCTCCACAGATTCTAGCTCCAATCTCTTTCTGGATAAGGCGGCTTTGAAGGATGCCTCTAATCTTCAGTTTGATGGCATTAGTTTTGTTTTATCTCCAACCAAAAAAGCGTCAGTTAGTATGAACATTTGGTACCCAATTCACTATTCATTTTAACAATAGCATTTCTGGTTCTTTGGTAGGCATGATTATCTACAAGACTCCTTAGGCAACTTAAAAAATTATTCTAATGCATACACAACAAGAATAACCCTGGATAAGTGCTGTGAGATTTTACAGCATAGGGACAAGGAAGGTGGGTGACAGAAACTGGAGTAGAATATGGGTCACTGAGGCATAGTCTCAAATTCTGCATTAACCAGATCTTTCAGTAGATTGCAAGTATATATTAAAAAAAAAAAGACAATTAAAAACATTTCTTGAAAGATCAGAGGGGCAAAGAATCTGCCAAGAGATACTGGGCCAGGCACCCAGCCAGGAAAATCTGAGGTCAAGTCCCACCTCCACAGTTTAGTAGGTCTTGAACCTGGGCCTTTGTTAATTTATTGTAAAATGGAGGTGACACCTGCTCTCTCTGACTCACAGGCCCAGACATCAGAAGAAGTTCAGAGAGGAAGCAGAGGGAGTAACATTTATTTTGCACATAAATCCATAAAAACAAAACAAATGTTTTTAAAAACCATTTTGACAAGCTGTTTTTGTTTTACTGAATTTTAATGAAGTGTCTTAATTTACCAGAGTAAATTAAAGACCTTTGAAGCTCATTACACAAACGTACCTACACTATTACACACACAGTGACAGTGTGATATGTGGTAAATACAATGGAAACTTAAACGCTCTGTAGACCCATAGCAGCAAAACAAGTAACTTTCGCAAGAAGCTGGCACTCACCTAACTATCAGCTCTACCAACTGTATGCATAGGCATCATGGAAAACAGTTGTCCCGCTCACTGACCTTTGGCAACAGAACATGAGAGAGGACAGGATACTCTCCCTACCAGCAATTCCAAGCTCTGAGCATCAGTGTGTTTATCAAACTCAGCACCACCCTGGAGAAATACATTTCTTGCTCAAGAGTCCTTTTAAATTTTGAAGGCATTAGCAATTAGAGATGGGTACTCAGGTCAGACGTATGACAGCAATAAAGTCTAGAAAATAGAGTGCTGGCTTCAGGACCCTTGGAGCCAAGATTAAATTTCAGTTTTAATGGGATTCACTTTCTCATTGCATCGCCACCTGGGAAAATGCCACAGTGGGTGATGAGGACAAGTGACAGCAATCCAGAAACTGCAGAGTTCCTAAGAGAGCGTCATGTTAGACTAACTACCCTCTTCGTGGAGTGCTTTGCAGTTGACAAAACTTACCCATGTGATAATCTCTTTGGCTCTCACAAAAATCCTATAAAATTAGTACTATCATTTTCTAAATCGTATAGTTACAGGAAATCACTGTCAGTTAACTCAGGCTGGGAGGCCGATCCCAGGTCTCACAGCGAGGGCGGCCCTGGGATCGCTGTGCTGGGGCTCCTCATTCCCCATCTGTGCTCGTTGCAACAGGCTAGACAAGGGCGGACGGGGGGCAACTTCACCTGATTGTAAACTTAAAACAGACACGTGTATACAGAATCATTACGTATGCAATAAAAATATACATACTCATACACAAGGAGCAGTGTATCTTTAATAAAATTAAAATAGACCACTACTCTTTCATCTATAATCTGTTCAATGATCTATTAAACATATGTGCCTAAGACATAATATATGTGTTTAATGAGCATGGCCCATCTTTAAAAGCACGGTTATGGCTTGAGACGGACTCTGAACTACCCACAAAGTGCTCTAATTACATGCATAATAACTATATGCTGTTTAATATTTTTCCCACACGTGTAAAAAGAAAGCTGCTAATTCTTTTCTTTTTGTAAGTATAAGGAATGCATCAAGAATGATCACTGTCACCATGAGAGATCATGAATTGGTCCTAGATTTTGGGAGTTATGCACCAAATTATTCATTGATAAGCAATGTCTGATCAGTAGAAGACAATCTTGATCTGAATTCCCACACATCGCATCTTTATTTCTACACTAATGACATTTCCTATGTTATATAAGCATGACTATAGATACCAGAGCCTCAAATCTGCAGGTGGAATCCATAGTTCCACCTGTGAAATAGCCTGCAGCTCCATTTTGAGCCACCGCTCCAGCAACTAATTTTCTTAGAAATAAGCAATTCCTCAGCTCCAACCATTAATGTGAAAGTTATTTCAGGCTATGTTATAGCTATGAAGAAGAGTGGGTATTACACTTCGTAGGGCATCTGTCTCAATGCTGCTCATGTGACAGAATTTACCTCATAAACGCAGTGTGTTAGAGCAGCTGCCACTTCAGCATTCAAGTTCAGGTTTCTGGAAGGCTTTGATGTATTTTTATATGTATGGATTTTTCCACTCAGATACCATCACAGGACACAAAGAGGGCTGTAAATGACCGTATTCCAAGTATGCAGGATAGTAAGACAGCAGTTGGGCCTGAGAATTACAATTGTATTCTGTAGTGACTGGGTTTCAATGTTGTTTTAGTCTCTAAAAATGGCCCTGGAACACGCAGCCCTCTCTAACCATGTCCTGTTTCTTATTTATGTTATTTTCTAATCTGAATAAACTACACAAAAGAGATGGGAATGCAAACTGGAATTTCATTTCAACACATCCCTAACCCTGAACTTGCCTAAAGAGTAGCCAACATCAGTTCCCACCCCGTTCAGACACTGTGGGTGAGGAGGAAGTTACAGAGCATGCCTGCTCCCCGTCAGCCTCATGCACACCAGAAAGACCAAACGCCTCTAAAGGCAGCCCCCCAAAATCTCAAACTCAAAATTCTAAGTTGCTTATCATAATATATGTATCTTTATCGTATCACCAAAATACCTAGTTGCATTTGTTTCTCTTACAGAACATACGCCAAATGATCTAGAAATTTTTCAGCAAGAAGTTTCTAGGAAAGTCCTAACTTTGATATTCAATTGGTAACTGATCTAGGGATCAGAACACATGCTAATATTACTGAATTCATGGACAGAGGCAAAGGTACATAAGTGGGCAGATGTATCTTCTGGAATACGATTTTACTCTCATTCTCAATGATGCTTTTTTTTTTTTGGTCAATGTGTAAGGGTACAAGCCCATTTTTCTTCAAGAAAATGGTGTTTGATTTACATATTTAGAGGCTGTTCCTAAGCCACAAGGTGAGCTGAAGTCAGCGTGCCTGCCCCAGCTCCGCATAAGCTATACCACTTGGTAGCGAGGTAGGCCTGTGCTGTTACCCAGCTTTCCTCAGGAAAAAGAAGCAGATCAGCTGTTAGAAACGAGAGTCATCCACCCATTGAACTGGTTATATCTTACTGTTCAGAAAACTCACTCTCCCACATTTACTCCATCTACGAAAGCAATTAAGTTTTGATTCTGAACTTCACTGAGAACACAAGCTACCTCCCTCACTAGGCTACATGTAGCATCAAGCAGTAGGGGTGGGAGCAGGTGGCCAAAAAGTAAGGTGGCTGCCGAACCTACGGGGACCTGCCTGAAATCCGAAAACCTCACCTAAGGAAGATGCAGTATGTGTGTGAAAACCCAGACGGTAGTGGCTTCTTACCTGATAGGGGTAGTTGTACCAACAGTGTCTTGTATTCCACAACCAGGGTGTCTGAAAAAAACAACAACAACATATTTTAATTTTTTGGAAAAGAAGCAGGATAAGGGATATTTATGACAGGTTCCCTAATATTTGGGTTCAATAATCTACCTTTGTAAGAACTGAAGGATTTAGGAATAAGATATTAAAGCAATTAGTATCCCATCATATATTTTCGCTGGGTAATCTACACTCAACTGGTAGTATTTCAAAGCTACGTCTGGGAGGGAGTCCTAGCTGGTATTTTTATATTTTGCTGGTCCCACAGACACATTCCTGCTATGGAACAGGCCTTAACAGCAGGGCCCTTCAGGGGTCTCATCTAGACTTGATGCAAATCACCAATCTACCTGTTACCAATAAACAATGCTGACAGTTGGTACAAACTACCCTAAAACTCCAATCCAGTTTATAAGGCAACATTATTAATCGGTTGTTTCATGCCTTAACCAGGGTAACAGGCAGGTATACTACCTGTTTTAGTAGGACACATCAGACTAACTTCAGGCCTAAGGGAATTAACCTTCAAGGCACACTCCACTCCCTGGCCCATGGTCAAGGTCTTTTAAAGACAAAAACACCACTCATAATTTGACAGCAATCACTTGCCTGCAACAGTGTATAATCAGAACATCTAAGTGTACACACAGAATCAAAACATTTGTAACGAACAGGGAGGAACTGGTGAAGACTTAAACAGACTGCTGAACAGTCCAATTACACCAACACAAACTTTCTCATATTTTTGTTTTAAGTTTTTAATTCTTTTGCATCTCTGATCTATAGCTATCAGTACTTTGAGTCATACATCTATATACCTTTGATATACATCTGTATATTTCTTATTTTTAAGGAACATAATCACAAATCCAATCCATATATGTTTATGCATCTCAAAATGGTAATAACGTCAATGAAAGATGAGTATCAGACATATTGGTACTGACCTAACCTCTTTATTTGTCCCAGGCTCTATAAGATCAAGGCTGTTGCCCTCTGCAGTGTGGTAATGCAGCTGTCTCCCCAAAAGTGATATACATATTCTTTCAACTTGTACCAGTGAGGATGAGGATGTGAACGAGAAAGGGGCTATGTAGTAAATCTGACAAATTCAGTGACTGAAATTAACCTCACAGGGTGATCCAACCATAAATTCCTAACTGGGCAGTCAGAATGAGTACTCACACTGCAGGCTAAGAAAGGTTTATCTCTGCAAGCCCTATCCATGGCTCTTGCTCAAACGTGTAAACGCACCTGTGAAATGCCAGAAGTAATTCTCTTCCTCAGACCCCTCAGAGGTTGTGACCACCCTCAAGAGAGCACAGAATCTGTCAGCTCTCCTGTAATTCAATCATACAGATTTCCCTGCCTTGCTTTCTCCCACCTTCATGTTATCGTCCTTACATTCTCCCCTTAATTCCAAATGTATAAAAGGAACTGTAAAACTGTCTTTTCCAGAGCATTTGAAATCTCGCTTCCTGATACATCAGTTCAGGTCAAATAAACACTTTAAAAAATTCTCTACATGTTTGGATGTTCTTACATCAACAAGTATGGTAATGATGATACTACCTAATAAAATTTAAGTCCTCCTATGTTCATATACTTTTTAAGGGTTTTTTTTTCATGATTTGTTATTTATTTAACTAATTAAAAAGTTTATCTTTAGACTGTCACACACACTTTTAAAGGATCTCACGTATGAACTTACTTTATCCTTACAGTAGCTAATAGTATTTGCCTCATCCTATAGATAGGTAAACTGAGGTCCTGAGCCCACAAATAACTGCCCAGATTAACCAGCGAGGCAGTGCCAGAGCTGGAAATCAAACTCAGACTGTCTGGTCTCAAACCTTGCCTCTGAGTCTGCTAAAAACTGGACCAGGCCTCTGTTCCGGGAGCCAGATTGAAACAAAAGCCATTCCATGCCCCAACTAAAAACTGTTCAGGGATCTTCACATTCCCCTCTCATGTATTACCAATTCCCCCTCGTTTTTGCTGGTTTTGCTATTTGCTACCTATTCAAATCTGTGTATATTATGTAATCTCGCTGCACTTAACATCCTGGCTGCCTGAGTTGTATGTTCTGGCTCCTCCATTTCTCTTGTCCATAACATTGATGTTCATTACTGACCTATCTCACAGGATGATTGTGAGGATCAAATGAGATAGCATGCTTAAAAATATTTTGGAGGCTTCAAAAGCTTAATATGTTATTGTCTTTACATGTCCATTGAGGAAGATTTAAAAAAATAAAAATTAATTTGAATTCTCTTCACTATTAACATTTTAGTGTACAGCTCATTTTTTTGGTCTTTTTTCCTATGTAATATAGATATAAATACATAGGTAGATTTATTTTTAAACACACAGGAGTTAGGAAAGATCACCAAGAGCAAAGATGTGTCATTAAAGACCAAGGTTAAGATTATCCATACTCTCAGATTCCCAATTACTGTGTATGGGTGCAGAAGTCTGTAAGTGAAGAATGCAGATAGAGAAAATTCCATTCATTTAAAATATGGTGTTGGAGGAGAGCTCAACGAATACCCTGAACTGCAAGAAAGATGAACAAGCAGGTCGTAGGGCAAATTAAATCTGAAACATTGCTGGAGACAAAAATGACAAACCTGAAGCTGTCCTGCTTTGGGCACATCATGAGAAGGTAGGGTTTTTAAGAAAGGATAATAATGCCAGGGAAAATGGAAGGCAGCAGGGAAAGAGGAAGAACCGATATGAGATGGACTGACTCCATTAAAGCAGTCATAGGTGTGAGTCTCCAGGAGCCGAGCAGGGTGGCTAATGACAGGACATTGTGAATATCACTCACGCACAGGGTCAGCGCAATAGCACATACACACATACGCACAATTTTTCAATCTGGGCACAACACACCAAAATCTATTTTATAGTACGAATATTAGTTATTACCTTTCTCTCTGATCAAGGTGTTTATTATCTCCACAATTAGTGGAAAGTCCCAGAGGGAAAGGTACGCCGTGGGCATGTGTTTATCCCCCAGCATCTGCGTCCAAGTTGACAGTTCAGCATTCATTTGCCGACTGCCACAGAAAAGGACTACCGAATGAAATGCAAGGCTGGCAACAAACCTCGCAGTATTTTTCTGAATGTGTCAGTCCCAAGCCCACAGGGAATGTATGTGCTGGTTCTAAAGATGCCTCGGGCGCCCCTCCCACTGTGGCCACCCCTTCCAGTCACAGGCAGGAGAGGAAAGGTGTAACTCCCACTGATTCAGGCAAATCCATCGTTTACAGCTTCCCTTCCTTTGTAAGTGTCTTTGCTCACTGGCTTTCTTCTGATATCCAGGCTTTCCCCTGTGTGCATCTGAGGTATATCACCTACACGTACTTCCACGACGTGCCAATACCTGACTGGCCTGCAGAAATCATGGATGAGTCTTTGTCTCTCACTGGGGCTTCACCCACCTGACGCAGGCGCCAAGGACACTGTGAATTTGACGGAGCTACTATAGGCCTCTAGCTCAACACATAAGCTTGTTCGCCAAAGATTTTTAAAAATTCTCTCATGTATAACGCACATTTACATATGCCTCTCATTTTGACCACACTAGAAATTAACATCATCTTTTAAATGCATATTACGTGTTTCTAGGATGTCATGCTACATGCCCCACAAAACTCTCTGAGACACAGGTAGAACAAATACTACCTTTCTCAATACACAAAAGAGAAAACAAGCCCACGAGAAGGTGATTCTCATAACTTTCACTAGCTCAACAGTGGTGTATGAATCTGGATTGGCTGCATATAATTTCATGCATTACGTATGACTTCTTTAATTTGAATCGATATCACGAAACTATTATTTTTAAATCAATTTTTCTAGATTCACATATTCATATCAAACCTGTATATTCATCACAAAAGTTAAAGGACAGTAACAACTAAGAACTCAAAATGCTGAAATATTAGATGTAAAAAAAAATAATGATGATGAAAAAAATACACTGAAAACCCTCAGTTTAAAAGAATGGGCCTAGCAACTTCCTATACAGTAAATAAAGCTCTGTACACAGGACAGTGCATGGCAATTAGCACATTTCCTGGAAACGGATGTGTCTTTTTCACATGGCATTACAGTATCAAGGAATGTTATCAAGGTTGAAAAATCTAAAAACCCAAGGATTCTCAAATCTTGTCATTCCAATATCTTAGGGTTTACTATATTCCCCCTCCTACTTAAATAATGCTGTGAAGCACTTAAAGATTTTCATGTATTTTATACATATTATCTCATTTAGTTCTCACAACAATGTTGTAAGTGCTCAAGCTAACATAGGCAGCAGATGCCATAAATGACAAAGAATGTGCTGGTATGGATCTTCTCAAAATATGAAGATGCAGGTTCTGATTTGGCAGGTCTGGCTTGGGACTAAGATTCTGCATGTGTAACAGGCTTCCAGGCAATGCTGATACTGGTGGACCTTGGACCACTCTTTGAGAAGTAAGGTGTCAGGGGAAAGTGAGAAGGTGAACCCATCTTCTTGATATTTACAGGTGTAAGGCACCTAACTAGGCACGTTGTTATAGTATTTCACAATTCTGTACTAAGTGAATAAATTAATGAACTATTTCAAGTCATTACAATAACGATTTGAGAGAGAAATTACTAGTGAAACAATACTGAGCTAGAGACAATGTTTCTGAACCAAACTTCCAATTTGATATAACCACACCTTTAAGCTCTGGTGGCAGGCCCGTGAGCAGCTTTTATTTGCTCCATTTTGGGATGGTGCCCTTAAAAGTTAATGGGAGTGAGAACTTCTTACCCTTTTTCCATTCCCATCAGAGAGAGATAATGACAACTTTGACCCTGAGGTGGAAATTTCTGTTGAGGTTGCCCTGGCCTGGCTTATCTCTAGATTCTTTGTACGTGATAGATAAATTCCTACCATTTCCCTTGTATTTAAGTTATTGAATTGTCTATTTAAAAATATTATATATATATATATATGCATAATCTGTATTCTC